GATGTTTATGATCTATTGGTCACCCGAATAATTTGCTTGCATTCTTACTCACACAGCAAACACTGTTCGAATTTCAGACTGCATTTATGCACCCTTTGTGTTTTTCGCTTTTCTAGGGCGGAGCAAAGTCCTGTCTGGCCATCGCCTTTAAATACGCGGCGTCGAGACTGGCTGTGGGACCCACCGGAAAGTCGGACATGCCTATTCTGTCACTGGAACTACAACAGAATGCTCTCTTTCCTCTCCTCGCCAGGACCTATGCCATAAACTTTGGCCTTGATCATGTCAAGGACGAGTTTTCCAAAAGTTCCCTACAGGTTGGTTATACATCTGAAAAGTAACCTCATGTTAGTGAGAGGCGGTGGGATGCTGGACGCATGCATCCACTGCCCAAATCTCTTATCCTGTCTGTATGTGCGCACACAGGCCGGGGTAAAGAGTGATTTATTGTAGTTAATGGTACACCGATCAGTCTTTAAGGATGTATCCATCCTGGTTGATTCCTCGCGAACCGGACCAACCGAGTGTGTATTCGCAAGGCTGCTAATCATAATGTTACTGATTTAGTTCCAATCACTTCACTAATTGGCTGCAGGCGGACCATACATCCTTAAAGACTGATCGGTCTACCATTAACTACTATATACTCCCGATCAACAACTGGCAAGACAGCAAACTCGTGGCTCTATGGTTAGGCGTTTGCCTCTGACCAGCGAAGTGCTAGTTCGAAACTCGAGTGTGGCAGCCATTTCAGCAGCTACATTAGAGTTGGCTACCCCTAGCTGATGACGGCCAATACAGCCAGAAATAGATATTCTAGGGTGTCTGCCTCTGCCGGAATTCTACTATACCATAAAAATAGTGATTTATCTTTTTGAAGAAAAGGTGTTCTGTGGGACAAAAAAGGTAAATCTAATAAGGAACTTTTCGAGACTGGTTCTACATAACTGGATTCCTTACCGTAGCAACAATACAGAAGCTGGAATCGACGGCTTCTCCATTGGTTAATCCTAAGTTATGGGTGCGATATGTAGATGGCGCGTTTGTTGTCGTTAAAAAGGACCAACTAGAAACGCTTCAGAACACCATCAACTCAACCACTCCGGGAATTCTATTCACGCTCGAGCTGGAGATTCACAATAAATTCACGTTTCTAAATGTTGTCGTACAGCGCAAAACTGACGGAACATTCCAAACGTCCGTTTGCCGCAAAGACAGAAATTATTCTCCACTATGAGAGCAACAATCCCATCTCTCACAAAAGAGGGCCGTCAACAGTCTGCTACGCCAAGAGAAGTCAAACTGTTTCGATGACGAAACCTACCGAGTTGAGCTAAATTATCTGTTTAATTTATTTTCCCAGAATGTTTGCCCCATGTTTACCGATGCATGAAACAACAAAAACCTAAAGAAGAAGGACTAGATAGTTAAACTCAGGCACCACAAAAAATACATAGCGAACTCTTCCTTATATAAGAAATGTACCTGAACTCTTTAAAATACTTTCGTATAAACCGAAAGGCAGGCATCCCAAGAAATGTAATTTCATG